GCTCAACAGGGCTGGTTCGAGTCGTGGTTCAACCGGTCCCCATGGCTCACCACCCTGATTTCTACCCTAATAGGCCCACTCACTATAATCTTACTAACCCTAATCTTCGGGCCTTGCATATTAAACAAACTGGTGCTATTTGTTAAAAGGCGTTTAGAAAGGGTTAACATTATGTTTGTTGAGCGCCAACAATTATTTAAGGCGTACCAGTTACTAATACACTTACAATTTTATACTAATTTTACTAACCCACGAAATTTTGAAACCTCTACATTTTTTAACTTTATACGATTTTTACTAATCATGAGGGAGGGGGGAAATGTGGAAAGCCAAGGATCTGCGTGCGGAAGAATTCGGGCTGTACGGTCAGTCAGGACTTCCCCCCACCCCTGCAGTCAGACCTTTGCTCTGTACCTGGCCGCACCCACCCGGACATGAGCAGAAGGAAATGACACTGACTGCCCAAGCTATAAAGGATCCCTGTGACCCCTCAGTAAATGCCATTTGCTGTCCACCACATTGGTGTCAGGAGCACATGGACCGAGTGACCCTGGGGTTTGGGCCACCATGCCGGACTAAGAACCAGGTCGCTACGCCTTGAGAAGACAACACCCCAGTCTGTATGGTCCTGCACGGCACACACCCCAAGGGTCTGGAATTCCAGTTCCCAGCCAGGAAAAGATGTTTCTGCCCTTGAAGGCAAAGCCCTTAAGAAGGGACCGAAAGCCAAGTGGAGCAAGATCCTCCAGTGATATTTCACTGCTAGCCTTCAGAACTTCACCCATGGCTGCTGTAGCTCCTGCACTGGGAATTAAATCAGGGCAGGGTCTTTGGTGGCAGCTGCCCTGGCTCAAGGGAGGCACTGAGAGAGAAACAGAGCAGGCAAAGAGAGGCAGGAGAGAAAGGAGGACACAAACACAATCAGCTGAGAAGATGGCACTCTGCAAACAGAACTGGAACTGACTGAAAATGAATGGGACAGAAATCACTAACTCTGAAAGTTTTATTTACTATCAAATGTATCCAACCCAGCCAGCCCCACACAATCCCCACCCCCACCGCTCCAAACTGGGATCCCACTTCTCCCAGTCTCCTCCCAACCCCATCTCACTCTGGTGGCTGTTGAATGGAGTGAGTTTGGCATGGGGTTGGGTTTTCTAGTGTGGGAACAAGGCATTTTGAAGTGGGATTGAGCCTGTATGAATGAAATTCAGTTATTTGGCATGGGATTCAGTTGTTTTGAGGTGACCCTCTTGGCTTTTGGAGTGCAAACAGATGGAGAACACTGTGCAAAATCTCCCGTCACAGACGCACAAATCCTCCAGAATATTGTCCCCAAAACATCAATTCCCCCTTCAAAACTTCTGAAATTTTGGGACTTTAGACATCTTTGATCACGTTATCTCATTTAACCCTGTTTGGGCTGTTTCTAAGGGATGAAGATGAAGCAGAAGAAAATTAAGGTCAAACCAAAAGTAGAAGCAGCCAGGTGTGTTGCCAACATGGATCACAGGGAATGAGTGACCAGGGTTGTGTCCAAAGTGCCTCCTCCAGTGGGGGATGGAGCTGGACCAGCACACAAAGCTCTTCCTGCACTTGGGGCACTCACAGGGCTTCCCTTACTGATGCCTCCGTTGGTGTTTGTTCAAGTGAGAGCTCTGTGAGAAGCTCTTCCCACACTGGGGACACTCGTAGGGCCTTTCCCCAGTGTGGATGCGCCGGTGTCTGATGAGGGTGCAGTTGTCCCTGAACCCCTTCCCGCACTCAGGGCATTGGAAGGGCCTCTCCTCTGTGTGAATCCAATAGTGCTGGAGGAGATGGGAGCTTGTCTGAAACCTCTTCCTGCATTTATCACACTCGTACAGCCTCTCCCCAGTGTGGATGCGCCGGTGCTTCATGAGGGTGGAGTTGTCCCTGAATCCCTTCCTGCACTCAGGGCACTGGAAGGGCCTCTCCTCTGTGTGACTCTGATAGTGGCGGAGGAGATTGGAGCTAGTCAGAAACCTCTTCCCACACTCCCCACAGTTGTACAGCCTCTCCCCAGTGTGGATCCTCTGGTGCTTGCTAAGGTCAGACCTGCAGCTGAAGCTCTTTCCACACTCCACACACTCATAGGGCCTCTCCCCAGTGTGGATCCTCTGATGCAGGATAAGGTGGGAGCTCTGGTTGAAGCTCTTTCCACAGTCCCCACACTCATAGGGCTTCTCCCCAGTGTGGATCCTCTGGTGCGTGATCAGTTGGGAGCTCCAGCTGAAGCTCTTCCCACACTCTGAACACTCATAGGGCCGTTCCCCATTGTGGAACCTCTGATGGACGATCAGGCTGGAGCTCCTCCTGAAGCTCTTCCCACACTCCCCACACTCGTAGGGCCAGTCCCCAGTGTGGGTCCTCTGGTGCTGGATCAGCCTGCAGTTCCACCTGAAGCTCTTCCCACACTCCACGCACGTGTGGGGCTTCTCCTCATCATGGAGCTGCTCATGGAGCACCAGCTCCGAGCTCTGGCTCGATTTCCACCTGCCTTCCTGGCCCAGCCTGGCTCTTTCCCCCTCAGATCCCCGCCAGCTGCGTTTGCAGCCCCTCCTCGTGCGGCATCTCCGCGGCTTTTCCTCCCCGTTGGCTTCCTGCGCCGTGGAGCCGCTCAAAACGGCCTCT